ATAGAAGGTGTAGAGGAATAGCCGATGGCAGCGGCGAGCTTGATAGGATAGAGTAGAGATATGGATGGCAGAGATGAGAGAGATAGATAGAGAGAGCTAAGATGAGAGAGGGAGATAGGAGAGGGAGTAGAGAAATGGATTAGAGAGCAGAGAGAGGTATGAGAATAGAGAGAGGAGATGATAGAGAGATAGTATAGAGTATATACGAGAGTCGGAGAGAGAGAGAGAGAAGAGAGAGAGATCAGTAGATAGATGAGATAGAAGAGGGAAACGTATCTCCTCGCTCTCTCTCTCTCTCTACGCTGCGCGCGCGCGCGCGCGCGCGCGCGCTGACGAAGCAGAGAAGGGAGAGATCCCGGAACGAGAGCGAGAGAGGGAGATAGAGAGTGAGAGAGAGAGAGTATCAGATAGGAAGAGGGAGATAAGAGCTAGGTAGGGAGGGAGGAGAGGTGGAGAAAGAGAGAGAGAGATATGAGATAGAGAGAGAAGAGAGAGAGTGAGAGGATGGAGAGTAGAGTAGATAGGGAAGGGTAGGGAAGAGGGGAGAGGAGAGAGAGAGGAGAGGAGGAGAGAGAGAGATAGAGAGCGAGAGAGAAGCCGAGAGCGAAAGGAGGAGGCAGATAGCAGAGGAGGAGAGAGGAGAAGCAGAGAGCGAGACAGAACGAGATATATATGGAGTCGAAGATAGAGAGAGAAGAATGAGAGAGCGAGAGAGAGCAGAGAGAGACAGATTGAGAGGATGAGAGAGGAGGGAGAGAGAAGAGAAATAGAGAGAGGAGATAGAGAGAAGAGATGAGCGAGAGAGAGAAGAGGGCAAGTAAAGAGAGTGAGAGAGAGAGAAGAGAGAGAGGATAGAGAGAGAGGAGAGAGAGGCACAGAAGAGCTAGACGGAGAGAGAGAGAGAGAGAGATAGAGGAGAGAGAGAGAGAGGAAGAGGGAGAGAGAGAGAGAGAGAGAGAGAGACGAGATAGAGTAGAGGTGATATAGAGAGATAGATTGTATGAGAGAGAGGAGCGAGTAGATAGCAGAGGAGATACAGATATAAGAGATAGAGAGAGAGAGGGAAGAGAAGAGAGAGAGATAGTAGAGGAGAGAGACGAGAGAGAGACGAGAATAGAGAGAGGCATGAGAAGGACATAGAGAGAGAGATATATAGGAGAGAGAAAGCATAGATGTGAGAGAGAGAGAGAGAGAGAGGAGGCTAGCGAGATAGGTATAATGCGAGAGAGAAGAGATGATCCATAGACGGAGAAGATGAGGAAGAGAGGATCAGAGAGATAGCGAGAGAGAGGAGAGAGAGCCACTATATCAGAGAGATAGAGTAGCGTAAGAGATGAGAGAGAGTATAGTAGGAGCCAAGGAGGAGAGAGAGATAGAGAGAGAGAGAGAGGAGAGGAGAGAACGAAGGGAGGAGAGACGAGAGATGGTATGAAGAGAGATAGAGAAAGCGATATAGGATAGTATAGAGATTCAGCGATGGAGAGAGAAGAGAGAGGATGGAGAGAGAGAGAGAGAGGAGAGAGAGAGAGAGATATGAGAGGCAAGCATCGAGCGAGAGAAGAGAGAGAAAAGATGCCGAGAGAGAGAGAAAGATAGAGAGATAGAGAGAGAGAGAGAGAGAAGGAGAGGGAGGAGAGAGCGAATAGGAGAGAGAGAGAGAGGAGTACAGAGTATAGTAGATATGATCTGTATTAGATAGATCGATATATAGTAAAGATAGGAGACGATAGATATAGAAGATATGAGTAATAGGTTATTAGTGCCTATAGGAGATAGGGATTGTTAGGTGATTGAGCGTATAGCTATAGAATACAGGAGAGAGGAGAGGGAGAGACAGCGAAGAGGAATAGAGTATAGATATAGAAGAGATATAGAAGATTCTAGATAGAGGGAGAGGTATAGCGCAGAGAGAGAGATAGATAGTAGATAGAGATAGAGAAGAAGATGAGGAGATATAGGAGAAATAGATATGAGAGAGAAATAGACATATAGATATCTAGACTATAGTATAGAGAGAGTGAGAGATATAGAGACGATAGATGAGAGAGAGAGATAGATATAGAAGAGATGTAAGGGAGAGTGAAGAGAGAGAGAGGGAGAGATATATCCAGACGATAGAGAGATATAAGAGAGAGTAATCGGATAGATAGCGATAGAGAGATGCTAGATAGATAGTAGGCGATATGGAGTATATAGAGATATAGGGAGAGATGATGATAGAGAATATATATAGATCGGGAGATAGATAGATAATATAGGCAGATTTATAGATGTATCGATAGGCATAAGAAGAGATATAAAGAGGAGAGAAAGAGATATATAGACGAGACACGAAGATAGCTCTATAGCGAGTAGATACATAGAGAGAGAGCTAGCAGAGATATGCATATAGCGAAAGAGATAGAGAAGAAGTAGGAAGAGACGCTGCGAGAGTAGAGATAGATAGAGATATAGAGAAAGAGAGAGGGAGGGAGGGAAGAGGGAGCGATCGCGACGACGGATCGACCGCGCAGAGAGAGGGAATTAGAGGAGAGGGAGAGGTACACAGACACACACGAGGAAGATGGGAGAGGGGAAGAGATAAGGTCAGAGCGAGGAAGGACAAGACTCAGGTAGTATAGAAGAGAGAGACATGGAGAGATGAGAGCGAGAGAGAAAGAGAGGAGAGAGAGAGAGAGAGAGAGATAGAGATGAGCCAGAAGAAAGATGGAGAGAGATATAGGATGAGGAGAGAGCATAGAGATATATCGATACATAAGATAGCTTAGATGGCGAGAGAGAGGATAGGAGATTATAGAGGATACGACCGAATCGAATAGATATAGAGACGATATCTAGGAGAGATCTGAGAAAGATATTATAAGAGCAGAGAGATCGAGAGAGGAGAGAGAGAGAGGAGAGAGAGAGAGAGAGACGAGATAGAGAGAGA